CAAGATGTTCTGCCTCACCTCAAGCCCTGAGGAATGGAGCCAGTTGTCTATGGACTGAGACCTCTGTACCATGAGCCCTGAAGTAAACTTTTGCTCCTCTAGTTGTTTTTGTCAGGTCTGTTGGTCACAGCAGTGAAAAAGCTGAGCAAAACAGAAGAGTAGTTAGCGAAGATTTTCTTGCATTCTGTAGGTTCTCCACATTCTTTTTTTTTAAATATGTATATTTAGTTGTATGTGGACACAATGCCTTTATTTTTATTTATTTATTTTTGCGTGGTGCTGAGGATTGAACCTAGTGCCTCACCCGCACTAGGTGAGCACTCTACCACTGAGCTACAACTCCAGCTCCTCTCCACATTCTCAATTGTTTTCTTTGCTGTAAACAAGCTTTTAARTTTGATGCTATCCCATCTATTAATCCTTGACACTATTTCCTGAGCTTTAGGAGTCTTGTTCAGGAAATCCTTGCCCTGTCCGTATGTTGGAATGTTAACCATACATTTTTTTTTTTATGGGAGTGGCACAGTTTCCAGTCTAATTCCTAGTCTTGGGTCCATTTGAGTTGATTTTTGTATAGTATGAGAAACAGGGGTCTAGTTGCTGACCCCATTTTAAACATTGTTTCTATGGTCCACAGAAACATTTGCTTACATTGCTTGACAACCCAGTCTTTAGCACTGGGTTTGTTTGACCTCTTGCTTAATCCCTTTTACTAGCCCTTCTTAGTTCCTTTTGTAGGTTTCTCTTCCTATATTTGCAATGTGCTCTTCAAAGCTTTCCTTTCTTTACTTTGTACACTCTTTCTCAGTAATATCACCCACTCAAATGATTTCACTTAATACCAATTGGCCAATGACTAAGAAATCTCTGTCTATTCAGTCTTTTTTTTCCCCACTTTTTTCTTTTACTCTTTTTATCTAGAACTCTAGGCTTCTGTACATCCCCTTGGGTATCTTGCCAGCACCTCAGTTTCAATAGACTTTTGTGCCTATTACTACCCCAAGTCTCTCAACTCTGAATCTACCCTTCTGTGGTCTGCTCTGTGATGCTGGCACTCTGCAAACCCCATTTTTGCTTTGCTAACTCTTTGTTCTAGCAATAGTGGGCACTAGAGGAGGAATAAAAGACTTTCCCATTTACTGATTGGATTATTTGTGGGGTTTTTTGGTGCTTATCTTCTTGAGTTCTTTATTTACCCTAGAGATTAGAGCTCTATCTGATGTGAGAGGGGTAAAAATTTGCTCCCAGGATGTAGGCTCCGTGTTCACATCACAGATTATTTCTTTTGCTGAGAAAAAACTTTTTAGTTTGAATCAGTCCCATTTGTTGATTTTTGGTTTTAATTCTTGTGCTATAGACGTCTTATTAAGGAAGTTGGGGCCTAGCCCCACGTGATGAAGATTAGGGTCTACTTTTTCTTCTATTAGACACAGAGTCTCTGGTTTAATTCTTAGATCCTTGATCCTTTTTGAGTTAAGTTTTGTGCATGGTGAGAGATAGGGATTCAATTTTATTTTGTTGCATATGGATTTCCAGTTTTCCCAGCACCATTTGTTGAAGATGCTATCTTTTCTCCAGTGCATGCTTTTGGCACCTTTGTTTAATATAAAATAATTGTAATTTTGTGGGTTAGTCTCTGTGTCCTCTATTCTGTACCATTGGTCTACCAGCCTGTGTTGGTGCCAATACTATGCTGTTTTTGTTACTATTGCTCTGTAGTACAGTTTAAGGGCTGGTGTAGTGATACCACCTGTTTCACTGAACAGACACTTCTCAGAAGAGGATATACAATCAACAACAAATGTATGAAAAMATTCTCATCATCTCTAGCAATCAGAGAAATGCAAATCAAAACTACTCTAAGATACCATCTTACTCCAGTCAGAATGACAGCTATTATGAAGACAAACACCAACAAGTGTTGGCAAGGATGTGAGGAAAAAGGCACACTCATACATTGCTGGTGGGACTGCAAATTGGTGCAGCCAATTTGGAAAGCAGTATGGAGATTCCTTGGAAATCTGGGAATGGAACCACCATTTGACCCAGCTATTCCTCTTCTCGGACTATACCCAAAGGACCTAAAATCAGCATACTACAGAGACACAGACACATCAATGTTTATAGCAGCACAATTCACAATAGCTAAACTGTGGAGCCAATCTAGATGTCCTTCAGTGGATGAATGGATAAAAAAAGTGTCATTTATACACAATGGAATATTAATAAAATAATAAAATAAATTAATAAAATCATGGCATTTCCAGGTAAATGGATGGCATTAAAGCAGATTATGCTAAGTGAAGTTAGCCAATCCCAAAAAAAACAAATGCCGAATGTTTTTCTGATATAAGTGGGGTGACTCAAAGTGGGGTAGGGAGGGAGAGCATGGGAGGAAGATTATTTCTAGATAGGGAAGAGGGGTGGGAGGGAGAGGGAAAGGGAAGGGGAATATCAAGGATGGTGGAATGTGAGGGTTATTATTATACAAAATATATGTACGAAGATTTGAATCTGGTGTCAATATACCTTATATACAAACAGAGATAAGAAAAATTGTGGTATATATGTGTATTAAGAATTGTAATGCAAAAAAAGAGTACATGTAATAATGCCATAATTTGGCATGAACATACTTTATATACAGAGTTATGAAAAATTGTGCTGTATATGGGTAATAATGAGTGTAATGCATTCCACTATTGCCATGTATTTAAAMAATAAATTAAAAAAAGGACTTTCCCCTTCTCTGCTTCTTGTTTACTTTTGTCTGCTTGGGGGTTCCTGTAAGCATCTCTTGAGCAAACCTTCAATCCAGAAACACACATTATTTTCTGGAGTAGCAGGGGAATGTAATTTTCCCTGAAGTGGCAGAATTACCCCCATTATCACTTCCCTCCCGGTCATTCTCCACAAGTTAGACTTTCTGGGAGGTCCGGGTTCCAGCTCATCAGGACCTCTCCTTTGAGCTGAGTGACACCAGGAGGAGCTGAGCAGGGTCTTCTAATAGAGGTCTGAGTTTTGGCTCAGTAGGATCCCTGTTCCAAATTTCTAAGTTGTAGTCATTCCAATTCCTTCTCTGGTTCCCTAGCCCTGAGGGATGGTGGTTGCTTTCTTTAATTGCTTCCTCTATGAAAACTTACTATTCTACTTTGCTTTTTCAGTTACCTAATTAATAGTTTCATAGTTAGTTAACCATTCTTCATATTGAATTATTCAAATATTTAGTATGGTTTCTGTCTCCTGACTGGACTCTAAAGGAATTTATATTCTCAGCCAAAAGCCAAGACAATTTCCTTCCTTAGGAAATGGCATTAACAAACCTCCTTATCCCTKGCCTAATCGCTAGGCATCCCTTTTAACCTTGAGTATTCTCTCAATTCCAGCATCCCAACAGTGAACAAGGCCTACAGCTTTGGCTTCCTGAATATTTTTTGTTTGTCTGCTTCTCTCCTCTTCGCCCACTGCCTTCAATCAAGCCACCACCAAACCTCCCCTGGATGACCCTCATCTCTAATAACTCTCCTCCACACATTTCTGGAGCCCCTCAAACTATTCTTACCATGGCTCTACAGTTGTCCTCAATCCATTTTCTAGATAAATATACTTGGAAACATTCCGCATCCTTAGCTCAATTTATAAGACCTGTGACATGACTTCAGTTGCCACTGTGCTTCTTTTTGAAATATCTTCTTTACTTTAGTCTTTTGTCAGCTTTGTGACATGCCACACTTTCTTTGTGCTCTTGGAGCAAACTGCTCCCTCTGGAAATCTCACCCTTTACCTGGATGACTACGAGACATCCTTGAAATATTGTATACACATCACATTCTTGGAGATGGATTTTTCTGATCTCCCAGGTCAGGCTGTTCTCCTGCWATCTGTTGCCACAGGTCCCTGAATATCTCCTTTTTCCTGTAATACTCAATAAACATATAAGTAGCTGTCTAGATGGCATGGCCCATCCTTATGGGTAGGGGCCATGTCTGTTTTTCTTAGCCTAATATCCCTAATACCTAGGGTGCTTTCCAGCACAGTAGATAGGCAACACATATCTGCTCAGTTCTGTTGATTTATGTTTTATATGTATCTTAGCACAAATAAGTTGATTTCAGGAGACATGTACTTCCTTAGATGTACCAGAGTCCCTCAGGGATGTTGGTTACCTCTTCAATGAAGGCTTCTTTGTTCTGCTCTTTCCACATCTCCTGACACCAGTCTCCCTTTTTGGGTTCTGACAGCGATGGGAGGAGACTGGGGAGCAAACTGTCAGAAGTTACTACCTGGAGCTGGACTGGAGACCCAACACTACAGACGCTTACAGTTTTCTCTGTGCTCCTTTAGTGTCGCACAACTCTCTCAAGTACTGGGTCCAGGTGCAACTCTGCTTGTTGCATTTGAGCTCCAGTGGCCAAGGAAGGAATGTTCCTCCACTTCTAACCACCGACATGTTACTCACCATTCTAGGAAATGTAGCCTTCTTTCTTTAAAAAAAATGTTTAGTTGTAGATGAACTCATTACCTTTATTTTATTTACTTACGTGGTGCTAAGGATCGAACCCAGGGCCTTACACTACCACTGGGTAGTGTGCTCTACCACTGAGCTATAACTCCAGCCCCGCCATTATTTCTCAAGTGACAGAAACTGGGGAAAACAGTTKGGGAATGGACTCAAATACTGATGAAAAGGCTTTAAAGATTTCTCATAACCAATATTGGAGCAGCAGACACTTTCAAACAATATGAAAATGAGCAGAATCACGAAAACATATGACCAGTCTGTTGGAAAGGAAGCTGACCCGAGGGAACAGATTAAATAAATCCATATTTGATTTTGGTTTTGTCTCAGGGAGAGAGCTGCATTTACTTAAAGAAGAAAACAGAATATAAACTAAAGAACTTTCCTTTTTCCTTTCTTTTTATCTTCTAAACAGATTTGACCCAAGATGGACATTTTCCTTGAGAATAATATATCTTTTTCCTTCAGCTCAAAGTTTTACCTTTTGGATTGTATTCCACACACGTTCTTTATCGCTTCTTCTTCCTTCAAGGGTGTCCATAGCATCTGCCATTAGCGACTGCAGCTGTGGCACCAAGATAAAAATTATCAGTGTGGAATTCACACAGAAATAACTTCTCTAAATACACAGATTAAAACCTAATTAAAAAATCATTTGTACGCTGATGATTTTATTACTCATCTTTCCCACAATGAACACTGCCACCTCATCTTTGCTTCAGTCATTACTGAGTATTATTGCAGACATAAAATATTGAAACAATGGAAAGATTCTTCTTGAAAATTTGTAGAAAACGTATAGGTTTTAATGTAGTAAATGTTGATGTTTTGTTAAAAACAGATTTGGGTTGTAAAGAATGAAGGCAGTAGTTAATTCTCCCAGGAAATGGCATGTAGTACATGAATGCATTTGAGTGTTTTCTCCTGAGGCTAATATATCATAATTCTAGGCATCACGCAAAAGCTCACCAGAGGACAATACTAAGATTGTGCTGTTTTATTGCCTCTTAAAGAATCTAGCTCATTTAGGTTCTTTCACTGTTCTTTTCTTTGTTAAAATTTTGAAATAATCAAGTCTTTTTTTTCTTTTTTTTTAGATGCCAAAGGCAAGTTTTAAACATGTTACACTTTGCCCAGAAGAGGTACCTGGAATATTCCAGTTGCAAACAATCCTGTACACACGATGTGTATGTGGCTGCAAAATTAAAGCTTCATCAAGCCTTGTGATATTCATAGTTTAAAAAAAATTCTCTAAAAAAAGAACAGATACCGGTTCAGTTCACTGTGGCCTCACACGGTATGAACCCTTCGATAATCTCTCTGCGCTTTGGATATTGCAAAGCTTGCGTAGGAGGGCAGAGTTGAGTCATTCAAATATCTTCTGTTGAGCAATCACTGTTGATATAGCACTGTACAAGRTATTACTAGGATTTATTTTCTAAGTTAACCCATACTTGGAAGTTGAAAAGTAAAATCTATTACTGAAGGTGATGAGATCTTGCAAGATACATACTTTTCAAATGTCTTGCTTGCACATATATATCCATACATATCTAATTTTTTTCTTTGTGAGCATATAAATTATAAAAATATCCCATGAAATTCCATTTCCCAAGGTTTCAGATACTGAAAAACTGCATATTAGGAAGGGATGTCAATAACACTAGTTTGGTGCTCTATGTATATTTTGAAAAATAAGTATTTCCAGCAGGAAAATAGCATCCCCCCCCCAAAAAAAATAGATGTTTGGTTAAGAAGACTTAAGTGCAGTGAACTCCCCTGTATTTTTCATTTAAATCTTGAATGTGCTTTTCAGGAAGACAGGATCAACATTTTGCTGGCTTCCTAAATTAACATTTTCTTTGCTTTCTCTTATCTCAGAGGAGCATTAATCATGTAAAATTGGCTATAATATGCTCTTTGAAAGCTCCAAACTTACTGCATTCCTGAATGCCTTATAAATGGCAGGATAAACACTTACTTAGCCTTTTAGAAGGTGTTCTGCACACAACCTTAAAGGTTTAGAAAGTCTTATTGCCAGTTTTGACTTAGTAATTCTTTGATTAATAGATTTACTTCATAGTTTTCATCTTTGGTATACACATTTTATTATTTGGCAAGGCAGACCATTTTATATACTTACTCTGAATATCAGTATTTATTTAACACACTCTAAACAGGTTTAGATGAACATTATAAATCCTGGCAGATCATTTCTTGGTTATATCTTTAAAAGCTCAAAAAGGGCAGGTTCTTTTAGTTATCTGAAGATTACAGGAAATCAGTGCAGGCTGTACTATGTGAAGTCAATTCAGGTCTATAATTAGTTTTAGCTACTCTCAATTAGAGCTTCAAAGCAAAGAGCCCTTCCCTAGAACACATTAGGATCTCTACATAGAGTATATTTTACCTTTCCCTGAATGGACAGCTAACTGTTTAATAATTGTTTCTCATACAAGGTGCTACAATTTCTAATATTAATTATGATTATAATACACACATCTATTTGAAAATTGTTTGTGACCTATTCCCTCAACTAGTTATGACTGGGTCTGTATAAGGCCAAAAGGTCTGGTTTTCYGAGTTAACTAGTAAACTCAGTTTAAAAAGCAGCTATTTTTCACTAACTACATTTTTTTCCTAAATAAACAATGTTTTATTGATTTACATAAATGTACTAGTATGTGCTGTTTTGGTCCTTTCAATATTTGGTAGTACTAGAAGTGATTATTTTGTGGTTGTTTTTCTATATATGTATCTCTTTTGTCCTCTCATTTTYCCTAGAAGAGAATCATATGATTGYATATCTTATTGTCTAAGAAACACTTCATTGAAATTAAAACAAAAAGCCTGATACACAATATGAATAGTCAGTTCCTTTCTGTCTTTAATACATCACAAAGTTGTTGTTATGAAAAATGGAAACTAGTCCATGTGAGCAAAGAAAAACCAGACATTCACCCTACACTTTCCCAGTTTCTTCATTAAAATGCTTCATGAGAGATAGGGAGTTTGCCTTCAGGCTACATTTATTATCACAACTTCTTCTTTTTTTTTTTTTTTCCCCAAGACCATATCACTCTTCTGTTGGCTCAGGGCCTGGGAAAGCCTTAAACAAAGAAAAACAAATACTTACCAATTCCGCCTCCTGTTGACTGATGTCCTGTAGATAGGGAATGGTTGCTAGCTCTGCCATTGCTTGATTAATCACTTGGGACTGCTCCTTTACTCTCTGCAGCTGGCTGAGGAGGCTGGCGTACTGCAACTTCTCCATCACGCCCGAGCACGCACACATGCTCCCCTGGTCGCACAGTGAAGGGAAATGTTGTTGAGCAAAACCACAGGAATAGACCTCTCCCTGGGCACCGAAGTCAGGGCTTGGTATAATACATTTACATCTTTTGAAGCTACGGTTTCTATTGTAAATCAATGTTTTCTTCTATCAGTTTAGAAAATTGCCTAAACATTTTTTTTTYCTAGTAGGTGAATAAACATAAAAGGGAGCTCTCTGCAGAACTGTCGAGATGAGTTTACTGGTTGCCCTGCATTAGGGAGCTGGGCTGAGGGGAAAAGATGGACTGAAATTGTACCGGTGCTCTCCTAGTGGGGATCTTATGAGGCTGTGTCTAACTAGAGGAGGTGACTGTATCTGCATCACCATAGCATCAGAAAAGCTGAGAGTTGCTTACTATCTTATGTATGTAGAAACGTTTGATGCAAGTTGAATTCTGTTTACTCCGATGGCTTACATTAAACCTCTGGCTCTGCCCTTCTCTTTAGTTCTTATTGGATGGCCTGCACTGGGTCCTGTCCCGTAGCAATTCACCCTGCCCCTTAGGATCACTTCAACCATGAACCATCTCGAAGCAGTCTTCTCTACATTTGTAGATACCCCCCCCCTCCACTCCCTACCATGAATCTACTGGTATTTTAAGCATTTTTAGGTAGGCAACTTAGAATAAGGAGATCCTCTTGTGTCTTTGCTACTGCTTTCCACAAAAGAGGAAATATTACCTTCTCTAAAAAGTTTAGTACAAACTGAGATGCTCAATAGGAGACACAGAATTTATAAAATTCTCATCTTGTCTTTCAGAAAAGGTACTTCTGATATTGGTGGTGTATAAGGGTTAAAACAAAGGTCTTGGTTTCTGCTGTGTTTGGAGAGTGCTGAGAAACAGAAGTCACAGAAGGATTTAGTTTAGCAATTGTACTGCTCATCGTGGTGCTCAGAAGAGGAAGGCAGGGTGACCAGTGCCCCTTTATGGCAGGACTCCTCTTGGATCTCATGCACCAGAATCTTAGGCTTGATGTTAACTAGGCAGTTAACAGAGTCTTGGGCTTCATTCAGGGAATCACAGAATCTGGATATTTGACCCTAGAAATATGAATTACTTAGGTGTCTGCCCAGATTTTCAATTTTCAAAAGTTTGAGAACAAACCACCATCTTACAGCTTAGTATCTGATAAGGACTCTTTCAGTTGTTGAATACTTATGAAACAGAATTTTTTTTCCAGGAATATGAGAAAGCAGACTTGTGATTTTTTTTAGACTTTTCTCTAAGGAGAAAAATTGCTAGCAACTAGCATTACTAAAGATCATCTGAACTTCAACTGGAAATTAGAAAGCAGTTTTTGTGAAATGCCATACTCATATTTTGATTGATAGCAACCTCTAGAAGCTGGCATTTTTTAGAACCTTGGAAATAAATGAAGGTTAGGCACCAATGCATTGTATTTGCTTTATTTCTCCCTAATATATCTCTGTGCCATTCAAGTAATGTCCTATGTTTTCACTAATTTGTTCTTTTTGATTAATCATTTTTATGAAAATCTATAAACCAACAGGAGTGATGATTGCAAATGGTGAATTTGGGATCCGTTGCTTGAATTGACGAAATAGCTGGCTTACCATTCAGCTTAAACATGTAGCTAAACAATGGCCTTCTGTCAAGTAGAGGAAAGCAAGTTGGAGGAGAAACAGTTTTCTTTCTAAAGAAAAATTGCTTTCTTTGTCCTTCTTCAAAAGAAACAATGGGGCTAGTTGTAGGAAAGTGGTGTAGTGACTCAACTCCAAAGAGCAGAAACAACTGCAGCCTGCACGGGAACATAATCTATTAGTGTAATTTTCCAAAACATCAGGAAAATAAAAATAGTGGAAGGCAACAGTGCTTTGTTAGCTTGATTGTTGGATGCATAACAAAACAGGAAATGCTCCTTATGAATAAGATACTAGGGAAAGAATATCGTTGACTGCTAATAGTCACCCATCCTTCCCTTGTCCAAAAAGCAAATGCAATTTGGGTTATCAGAAAGCTTTAGATGAAAATTTTACCTATACAAGATGAGGGTTTTTCAAAGCCAAAGTGAAAAAGATGAAAATTAATACCTACTGTGAACAGAATGTTTTAATGCTGTTGCTTTAAGAAAATAAAGGAAATAATGAAAAATAAAGGAATTAGCTTAAACATCTAGTGCTAGTAAAGGCTAAATTTGAAGGGAGGTAGTCCTCCTAATGAGACTTCAGGAGTGATCAAAGGGCTCCTTAGCTTCTGGAGAGAGTGTAATAAAGTGGCCAAGACTGAAGCTAAAACCTCACATCGGTACAATGAAGGTTAGGTAAATAGCAAGTTCAAATGAAGGCTTCAGTCAGAGAATTGCCTAGATTTAATAGCAATTATGGATAAATGTTTGGCAAATAAGTGGCACTGTATAACACTGCTGAAAAGCAGAGTTCAAGTATTTGGAATGTATTTCACTTGGCATAACACATAGAGATATTAATTGCAAAAAAAGAGGGGGCGGGTAGAAACATATACAACTGTTCATTTCAAATGTGCATGTGTAAACATTTTTTATGCTTCACTTGGAGGAAATTAACGAGGTATTAAAAATATGGTTAGTTAGGTCATTCTTTTGGCAAGTCATCCTGTGAAGGGGGCTTCATGCATGGCAAGAGGTTTTATTTTAACTCTGTAACATTTAGCCCAGGAAGCATAGTACATAAGGTTTGAAACTGACAGCAGCCAAATAAAATTAACGAATGGAAAAGCAGAGTGCCATGTGAAATGATTAGGATAAAAATCATTTCAAGGTTTCTGGTTGAATGGAGTTGATGAACATCAGTAGAATTGGAAGTCACCACCACCACCAACAACAAAAAGATGGAATAGTGGCCATTATAACTCATAAAATGACAAAATCTTCCTTGTTTGACCACATGTTGTATGTGTAGTAGAGCAATCTGTGAATACAAAGAGACTCCTATCATAAGTGTATAAAGGAAATCATGGAATCCACCCTCAGACCAGGAAAGCCCTTTGTCTTTTTCACCCACCTTCGGCAAGAGGTGGAAATTCACGTTGCCTAGGAAACTTTTCACAATTAATTTTCTTAGTCTAATTTGTTCGTACATTTGAATGTTCATTTTTAAAACTGAACCCAGCCATGGAAGCATTTTCAAGTTGTCTTATGTATGGTTTGCTTCCCACAAGGATCAAACTATKATTTCAAAGAGATGGAATATGTCTTTAGTGAAAGAGTACTGGAATGATATCTGAATATCTGATTTTGAGCCCTCGCTTCTAATCCCCTAGCTGTGTGAACATAACTTTATTACTACTCTGAGTCAGTTTTMTCAATGGTAAAACAAAGGTAACAATGTCAAAATCCAGGGGGAAAGTTCTTTTCACATTAAAGGACATTATACATGTGCTTCTCCTAAACTCTGTTCCTGAGTGGAGTCTTCTATTACTCTATTTTTCTACTATGTTTAGGTTAAAAATTTTTCTTGATTATGACATGTTTCAGAGATTTAGAAGTAAGAGTGATTTGTTAGTTTTAGAATTTTTTTTACTCACTTTATATTTAATATGCTTCTATTGAAGGTAAATTGTTATTCATTTTTATGCATCTTGAGGAGAACAAAGACATGTATCCTTTATTTCAATGGAGAAAAATCAAAAATTGGAGCAACCAATTATAACCTATAATTTATTATATTGCCAAGTTAACATTCTTTCTAATTAAAGATATCAGGTAGATATTACAAACCTAATATTTAAAAGGTGATTAGATATTCAATGTGTTTAGGGAAYAAATCATGAGAATTATGTGCATTGCCTAATATTATGGAGGAATTTACATATTTACAATCATTTATGTGACTTAATAGAAAAGTGGTAGTTCTTAAAAATGGTATAACTGATTCTGGTCATGGTATTATACCCAGGACTAGTATTATTTTCGAGTCTCCTGCAGTTATGAATGTTAAGTTTTAATACATCATATTTTTCATATTCCAAATTATTCCCATTAAGGAACATTGTCAAAATGAATGAAAACCTCTAAAGATATAAGACACAAAATGCATTTCTTAGCTATTAGGCTTAGATGAAAATGTGGGTGTTCAAAATGGATGATTTATTACCTTAGTGGGCAAACAAAATCATGTCACAGTTATTAGTATCGAGGATAATTGAAAAATCTGAAATTCTTCAGGATAAATATAGAGACCAAGACATTGGTCACTGTGCTCTGATGGAAATGTCTTGGATGAYTGTCTCCATCCTACCAACGTGTGTTGAGGCAGATGAGCCTTAGTGAAGCTGCAGTCCTGAGTCTAGCCCTGCTGTGGGCAGCCATGTCCTCCCAAGGCTGGGGAGGTCACCTCTAATTGTGCTGTGTGGGCGGATCTGAGTAAGTGGAGGATCTATGGAAAGTGAGCTAAGGAAAATAATTAAAAACTAACAGGACACTAGCACAATCTTCATATTAGAAGAAAAATATGTAATTTCAAAGTACATATCTTAAATAAAGAAAAACAAAGACCTATAAAAGAATACTTTTGTCAAAGCAAACTAACACACATACAAATAATTAAAGCTTCTAAAATTCTTCATTCTATACAGAGTGCTTCAACATGGGTTATGYACTTTTGGTCTTACAACTTTGAGCTTTGCAGATATAAGCCTATTTTATAAATAATCAAAAACAGCTCAGAGGCTAAGTGACTTGCCATAGGATTACATACCCAGAACATAGCCTTGGGCAAGAGTCTTCCCAACAAGTATTACAAACTAGGGTAACAATACGGACAACACAATGTTTACACATTTGAGTGGGATGGCATTTGATATCTGACAAGAAAGAAAGAAAGAAAGAAAGAAAGAAAGAAAGAAAGAAAGAAAGAAAGAAAGAAAGAAAAGACACCCAGGATGAACTTATAAATACTGTGGAGAGCTGCTTGGGTCACAGTTAATGGTACCATGGAGAAATAATTTCTAGTCACTAGCTCATTACTTGCTTCATTAAGTTAGGTTACCTTTCCATCCAATTTTATTCAATCCTTCTTTGTAAAGCTATGGCTGGGCAAATATGAAACCTAGAGGCCAATATTTGGATATACTTATGTTCCCTGGAAACCTTCAGCCTCATTCATTTCAATTCCATTAAAACTCTTTGAGACAATCTTATAAAAATTATTACTTCTCATAGAAGCAAACACAGGCAAGTGGATGAAAATTCCTTGGAGTCAGCAGAGTGAATGGAGGCTGATTCTAAAGAAGACTGTTATTAATTAGATATTAAGAATCCATTTGATGATGGTGTTTAAATTGCCTTCAGGCACATGAATATACAATCATATACAAATCCCTCAGTGGTCAGAAATTACTTATGAAATGTGAGAAGAAAAGTAGCTGTGAATGTTGAGAAAGTGTGGAAGGCTTGGATAGGCCCAGCCTGCTTTCACAGCACCTGAACCAGCCACAAATGATGACATCAGTTTCTGGACTAGTAACTAGATAGGGTAGACACTGTTCCAAAAATTGAGGGCACAGACAACTTCCATGACACCCAGGTTCTGTCAGGCTAGGCATGCACTTATGAGATCAAATAATGCTTCATGTTGGTGATTCTTGTTAGCAAAACTTCCACTGTGAGGGCTGGATGACCGTGACATGTGGATTTCTAATTAGGATGGGGAGGTTGATGTGTGTGTGTGTGTGTGTGTGTGTGTGTGTGTGTGTGTGTATAAGAGGTTTTCATAAAGGGTGGATTGCAGAGTAGGGCCCCAAATTTGCAACACAGCCTATGAAATTGTTATAGACTGAAGGTTTGTGTCTCCTCCAAATTCATATGTTGAACATCTCAGTGTGAAGGTGTTTGGAGATGAGGCCTCTGGGAGGTAATTAGACTTAGTAAGGTTATGACATTGGGGCTCTCATCAGTAACCTTAAAAGAAGAGACACCAGAGATCTTGTTCTGCCTCTCTGTTACGTGGGGACACAGTCAGAAGGCAGCTTTCTGAAAGCCAAATCTAGAGTCCTCATCAGAACTTGACCATGCTGGCACCTTGATCTTGGACTTCCAGCTTCCAAAATAGTGAGAAAATAAATCTCTGTTGTTTAAGCCACCAAGCCTATGGCACTTTGTCAGTAGTCTGAGCCAACTAAGACAGAGATGAATTTCTTATTGGTAACAATGCAGGGGAGATACGTGAGGGGAACATGTAGAGAAGAAGGAGCCTTGTGGTAAAGAAATCAGTAAAAATGTGCTTTTATATTTGTAGCGCAGAGAATTACAAATCATGCAAATAGATTAGGCATTTTATAGCTTTTCTAAAATGCTGAATAATGTTATTGAGCAGATAAACTGCTGAACAGATGTTAAGTAGCTGTTTGTGATGACCCCCTTGATTCTCCCTGTAAGGTAAGAACATCAAATCAATGATGTAATATAAAAAATGTAATATAAAAGAAAATTCTTTAAAATTTCCAACTTACAGATCTTTTGAAAAATATTAAAAGAGGAGCAATCCATAGCCTTTATGGTGTGTTAATGAGTCGTTCTCTTTATGTACTTTCAGTACAATGACTAAAATTTTGTGAAAGAGAACTGCATAATTCAGGTCATATTTTGGGCTTTTCAAGACTGTAAAGTACAAAAAGCATATTTTCCCGGGATCTTAGGAAGAGCTTAGATAACTTACCTTAAAGCTGTACAGAGATCAATTGCCAATGTTTAGTGTAGAATCCAATTCATCAGGAGGGTATGGAGGCACTAGCTTGAATAGCTTGGAATTCTTGCAGAGTTAACAAGATGGCTATATGCTATAGCTCAATAAGTGAAACAGGGAAAACATTGTGCTTGCTAAAATTTTGTTATTGATTCGAAATGAGAAATTCAGTGCAACCTTGAATTAGCTATCAGGAAGGCATGAAGAAAAATCTCTTTAAAGAGACACTAGTTTAATAAATACTTGAAATTGCAGAGTGTAGCATTGTAATAGGTTTTGCAATATAATAGGAATAAAATCATTAGCTAAAATTTGTTTCGTTTTGCAGATGGGATTTTCTATGAATTTTTCTAAAATACCCCAGTATTTGTAATATTTGCTCCATAAACTTTCCATACTTCTAGAATTCTCTAATAGTTGTTGATTGGACAAATAAAACTAACTTGTATACCTACATTCAATTGGGTGCCTCTAATAAAATCCAATATCGGCAAGATTCGCTTCCCCATCGTCTCCATGTGTCTCACTGTGTCTTCTTTGGTCAGCAGACCGAAAGGAGTTTTATGTTCTAGAAATTGGAACAGTAAACTTTTATACTACTTTCCCAGACTTCCATTTCAAAATGCTTTCCTTAGCAAGCTATAAATAGATACCCAAATATTAATAGATATGAAATCTTTAGTATAGAAATTGTCCCATCTCTAGACCATATGTATWACAGTGAAAGATCTACGAGGAGAAAGGCAGAGGAGACACTGCCCTTTAGAAATTGTCATCTATTCATTTGGTTGTGTTTCTTGATTGAGAGATCTAAGAGACAGCCTATAACAATTTACCTGTCTCTGCAGAATATATTTTTCCTGAGTTGTGAAAAAAAATGTTGTCATAAATGTGTCTGATTCTTGTCTTGTTCCTCTCAGGTGTTATTCAAATGTGCAGATCCCATTGACTTTTGAATATAGCTTGAAGCTGAGATAAGCCTCAGAGGATACAGCACCAGACAYAACGCAAATTCTTAATTATGTGGTTAGAGCTGAAGGAGTAAATTCCAACTGGTCATGAATTCAGTCCATAAATTCGAGACTTCAACTCCATGTAAATATTTTTCTTGACTTTTGAAAATTTCAACTAGAATTACTGAATACCATGGAACTGTAATACTCTTCAGGAGATCTAAGCTCTTGGCTAATTACATAAGAGTGGAACAGATGTTAATACATCTGCAGGTAATCCAAGTGATTTAAAGTTGTTATTGGCTATGTGTTTTATTTCATAGAATAGTTCTATTGCACGAATGTCTTTTACATTTTCTAATGAATGATGATACAAGTGGTATTAGTGCACTATGATGAGGCATCAGTGATGCTGGTGGTTGAGATGAGGTAGTTGGAGTGAGGGGGTTGGGCACTGCAGGACCATGTGTGTTCTTTCAGGAAAGCTTTACTGGAACCAGAATCCCAGGTATTGTTGAACAACCCACAAAAAAGATCAGAAAGAGTTACTAATAAGTCAACAAACATCCTGGGGGCCCAGGCCCTCCTGCATGCTAGGCCCTGTGATGAATAAGACGTTATGAACAATGCAGGGTTCCTGCCTTGTAACCATATTGAAGGATAAGAGTAAGTCCATAATGTACAACATATACTGCATATGTTGTGTCCCTGAGGGTGCAGATGCAAGCACGGAGATGCCTTTTTGGGATCCTAGGCATCCATTCTTTAGTGCTAGATTACCACAAGGAATTATTTGTGCTTTCTCAGAGATTATGCAAAGGAACTGTGAACCCCTGGGAAAATATTTACACTTAGATTACTTAGGAAAAAAATATGCATTTTATGTTACATGTTCTATATGTATATTACATAAAATGCATATATATTATATTATATATTCATATTGTATATTATATATAAGCTTTATATACTACATGCATAATATATTTGAATTATATGTTATCTGTAAAATATGCTAATATATACATGAGATTTTTCCCAAATGAGGTTTGAGGAAACTGGGAAATACATTCTATTGAGGACACATCCCCTTCTTTGTTTTTCCTCTGGATTACTAAGTGCCATGACCTGTTCTCACCTACTGACTTTCATTTGCAAGGTTTCTCCTTTAGAGCTCCCAAAGGGTTCTCCCGCCTCTCAGATCCCTCCACTGCTGAACCTCAAAGTCTGTTTTCCTCTCAGACTGAAGAATTTTCTTACTGATTGACTTTGAAAATGTATTTTAAATCCTTAGCTAATTAATTTATAAGGAGTTATATATGTTCCATGCCAGATGCTCTTAATCTTTTTAATTAGTATTTTTATCTTAACAGTTATTAAAAGGACAGAAGGACACAATAGAATCAATTCTTGGGATCACTTAGAGCCTTTTCTCCATCTTTTTGTGGTGATCCTACTTAACATTATACCTAAAGGATGGAGGACAGAAAGATATCCATTCACTGTATTTAGAAATATGATGCCCCTCACAAACAATGTCCCTTAATCACATCAGGAAATTTCATGAGTACACTTTGCTGCTGAACTCAAAAGCAGTCAGTATGCAAATTAAATAATTCCTAGTTAAATGCAGAGATGCAGCATATTGATGGATTGAAATATTCATAAATAAGAGTTCTATTGATTTAATACAATCTCAAGCAAAGTTCCAGTATGATTTTGCAGATATTAATGTAGTCATTCCAAAGCTGTTTTAAAAGCAAAGAAACTAGAACTATGCAATGCAACCTGGAAAGGGATCTCAAAGTTGGAGAATTTACACTTGTAATGTCCACATTTGCACCATAAGAACATAGTCAATACAGTATGATGCTGGAGAAAGGATGGAAAAATAGATTAATATATCTATTTTGAGCAAGTTGAAGAAATAGTGCTTTTCAACAAAATATGTTGGGAAATTGGATTACCATATGAAAAGTATGAATGTTAGTCCACTTCTTAAGCTATTACAAAGTTAATGCAATTTTGGGGCTAGGGATGTGGCTCAAATGGTAGCACGCTCGCCTGGCATGTGTGAGGCACTGGGTTTGATCCTCAGCACCACATAAAAAAAATAAAGATATTGTGTCCACCTAAAACTAAAAATAAATAAATATAAAAAATTTAATTCAATCTTAAGCCTAAATGTACTATAAAACTTCAAAAAAAAAAAAAAGAAACATTTTGATTGTGAAAGAAATCAGAAGTAAAATCTATTGAAAAGCTGATAAAATAGACTGGTAAAATTAACACTTCCTCTTCAACTAATGCCATTATGATAATGAAAAGACAAGCTACAGAATATTAAAAATATTTGTACATTTGTAAATAACTGATAATAACTTGCATCCATCAAAATTAATTCTGTGTATACTAAATAATTTGTTAATTTTTTCCTTTGTATTTCAATAAAGTAATAGTTCCATGAAAAAAAAAGTCCAAGTGATTTACCTGTAAATGTTGGAAGTTTCCTACTTGATATTTTTTCCAAAAATTTCCCATCTTCTTTGTTTTTGAAACCAAGAGTCAAGAGATATTGTTGAGGAGGAAATGATGACCAGTCAGCGGTCTGAGGCAACAGGTGGAGTCCTTGAAGGTCTGAAATATGACAGAAAAAGAACTAAGAGACTTCATTTTAGCTTTCAGCAACACCCCCCCCCCTTTTCAAGAATTTACTTGGAAAMGATGATAAAATAAACATTAAAGATGCAAAATAAAATTAAAAAGGTCATCATATAATATATTGAAATCATGCTTCCTTATTTATATTTTCCTTGGCAATCTAAACACATACAAAGCATAGTAATAATGTGTGGCTAGATTATGTGGTCATTTTTATTCATCTTCAAAATAATAGACATTCAGGACCAGCTTGCAGGCAATATTTTTGTAATTCTTCTCAATAGATTTTGTTTTTTTTTTCTGTTCATAGTTTAAGATGTAAGGAAATTATGTCATATAAAAGGAAAGAGAAAAATAACCAAATGAAAATTAAAATATAAAGCTAATTAATTTAGTTACCATCCTTCCTATAGTGATAGGAGGAAATTTAAAGTGCTACATGCAAAGTAATTAGACTTGGAACTAATTCAAACATCATGAAAATGGTTCTAAAACAAACTCAATTCTTTTTTCTTTTCCTTTTTTTTTTGTGTGCGGGGGTGGGTATCGGAGATTGAACTCAGGGGCACTTGGCCACTGAGCCACATCTCCAGCCCTATTTTGTATTTTATTTAGAGACAGGGTCTCACTGAGTTGATGAGCGCTTTGTTTTTGCTGAGGCTGGCTTTGAACTGTCTGTCTTCCTGCCTTAGCCTCCCAAGCTGCTGGGAACAAACTCAATCTTTTTTTTTTTTTTAATTTTTTAAAATTTGTTTTAATTAGTCACACATGACAGTACAATGATCTTGACATATCATACATTTGAATCAGATGGGGTATAATTTCTCATTTTTCTCAGTGTACAGGTTGCAGAATCACATTGGTCATGCAGTCACGTATATACCCACAGCAATAATAATGTCTACTTTATTCTGCTGTCCTTCCTATCCCCCCATCCCCTCCCCTCCCCTCCCATCACTTCTCTCTACCCAATCTAAGGTGACACACTTCTTTTTTTTTCCCCCTCACATCATCATACATGTATTCTGTACAACGATGAGGGTCTCCTTCCATCTTCCGTGCAATTCCCCTACTCCCTCCCTTTCCCTCCCACCTCTCTTCTGACTATATGGGCTGATATTTCCAAGTATTTATTTTCTATTTGTTCATGCTCAAAGAGTTTTGTGTATTGTCTTTAAGATTGGTGCTATTGCTCCAATTTCTGAATAGAAGTTGTGGGACACTGATGGGACATAGAATCCAAATTCACATGGTACTGTTGAAATATAGCCTTCAAAACTGGTAATATTTTAAAAAATAATAGACATAATAAACCATAGGTGGTGTTTCTTTTTTCTTTTTGTTGTTGTTGTTGTTTTTGGTACTGGGGATCACTTAACCATTGAGCCAAATCTCCAGCCCACCCCTGCTTTTTTTTTTTTTTTTTTTTTTTTTTTAATTTGGAGACAGGATTTAAGTTGCATAGGGCCTCACCAAGTTCTTGAGGTTGGCTTCTGAACTTGCAATCCTCTGCCTCAGCCTCCTGAGCCTCTGGGATTACAGGCGTGTGCCACCACTCCTGGCACCATCAGTGCTTTGATCCAACCCCCATTCCTGCCTTCACTTTTTAGTTTGAATCCTTCGTTCAAACTAAGATTTGTGAGAARTCCAAAGTTTAAAGCTGATAGAGTTTTTCTGTTTGGAGACTGAATCATTGACCACCCTCCCTAGTCCCTGTAACCTCTTCTAACTACCCCCTCCAACCACAGCTGCCTTGTGCCTTTCCATAGAACCCCCAAACACAGTTGTAAGTTATTTGACAAAGTCTGGCTAAGTAACTAGCCAAAATTTTCTGTTAAAAGGAGAGTTAAAATGTATGCTGATTATTCAAAGAATTAGAATATCAAAGAACACCTCTTAAACCAAATTCACAGAACAAAAATATACTAAACATGCTTTAGTTTTTCTTGGGTGACTTAGGATCGGGTCACCCCTTCACTTCAATGAGGGCTGACATTTAGCTCAYACTTCTGCATCATACATTTTAAGGGGACGATCTTTTTTTACTCAGCAGTCAAGGGGGTCAGGGCATATCAATAAGCCCACTTTATAGAGGGTGAAACCCGACCTTCAAGAGGTTACAAACTTGCCTAATGTTACACTAATTGAGTGATCAAAACTGAAAGTCAGGGGCTGGGATTGTAGTTCAGTGGTAGAGCGCTTGCCTAGCATGTGTGAGGCACTGGGTTTGGTCCTCAGCACCACATAAAAAAATAAACAAATGAAATAAAGGTATTGTGTTTATATACAACATATATACATATATATATATATATATATATGTTTATTATATATACTTTCAACATATATATTATATATACTTTATATATATGTATGTCAGGCACTGAATGTCAAAAAAAACCCTCTGAAACTAGCCCCCCTGACAAGTTAGGATCATGGATATAAAAACCAATGGAGAACATGTAACAGAAGCCTGAAAATATTTGATAAATATTCTCAACGTAGGGAAGTACAATCAATCCTCCAGTTCTCAGAACCAACAGAGAAGTTTTCAGGCACCTTAAGATGCAGATTGCAGTATTAGATGCTTCTTCAGTTGGTGTTTGCTTTATAAAACACCTCTTTTGAAAAAGGATGGCTCATTTCTATAAGCAAGGTAAAAAAAGTGATTTCTACAGTTCAATTTCAAAATGCAGAACGTTTCTTTACTTTTAAAATCTGCAAAAGACAATCCAGACACATCATCTGTTTCCAACCTAAGTCTACCTTACTCAATGATTTAATAAGGGAAGAATTTACCTGTTCTACTGAAGTTTTCAAGAACTGGATTTGTGTGAAAAGGCAACTGAGTACCTTTGAGATGGTATTTTCTGGTGCAGCACTGTTGCCCAAACTGACCTGATATTTGAGGACTCTATTATGTAGATGACATAAAGAGCCTGACCTTGTCTTACCCTTGAATATTCACTGGATAAAGAGGAGACAAATATTAATACTGGTAATAAGATGAACCAGACAAATTAATGTTAGCTCTATACCTAATTTATTACAAAATATTCTTGTAAAAATAAAATTATTTTTTATTCCTAGTACTCAGTCCATTATTAACTTCCATGTGATGTTTTAAAATGTGTTTTAAAATTTTAAAATGTGAGAGTCCCCTAAAAAATAAAAACTGTTAAGTGGTAGAAAAAAATTTTTTGAAGTATCATTCTTCTTCCATTTGTATGCAGAGTAAATTGCAGTTGTATGAACATCTAGCCTAGCAGGTGGTCTATGACCCAAAATGACAACACTCTTACCAGATGTTGAATCTCATGTAACATTAATTTGGGTGCTAATTGTTCTCAATTTTGTGCTCATAAACCTCTACCTGCGTCCGAAAAGCCTTGTGCTTCTGATGGATATGAAAGTTAATCAGATTATATTGTCCTTCGGTAGAAAAGTGGAATGGATTAAAAATATGTCTTTTTTTTTTTTTGCTTCTGTTGTATCAAGAAAACTTGGGGGAAACAAGTCCTTTAATGCATGTCTTTACAAATTATCCCAACTGAAGATGAATTTAGATGACTGTGCCTAAATTTATTATTAAAAGATCAGTTTGCAGGTATGATATCATTCTGAGTTTTTACTATTAGGAAAGGAGATGCTTTAAAAATAATATCAAAGACAGTTTATGCAGATTACATTTCTTGGAAAACCACATTCTTTCAATTCTTTTTCCCCTAATCTAACTCCTGGAAAAAAAGACAAATAGTTTTTCTCTAATCAGGAATATTTTCTTTTGCTGTGGAAGGCTGGAATTGACCAGTTTTTAAGTCTTTAAGTTATTGAAGCTCCTTGATCTCCCTGCAATGTTGCTCCTCCTTAAAATCACCTTCCTGGAATGCAGTGATCTCTTTTCTGTCTGTCTGTCTCTCTTTTATGCACTGGCTCCTTTCTTTCCCTTTCTCTTCCTGCGTTCTCATTCAGTGCTCCCCAAGGCTATCTGTGGCTCACTGACATTTTCTCTTACATACACCTTTGGGAATTTCTATAGCTTATGGTTTTAGCTATTATTTCTAATGAAAATATTGAGGATCAAAGCTACAGTCCCATCTGAAAATTTTCACTAAATTCAAACACATGTTTCCAAATATCTGCTGTGTCGTAGTTATTTGCTTGTCATTCCCAAAGTTATTTGAAATAGAGCCAATTTGTTCCTCAAAAGTGATTTTTATACTCCAAAATTTCCTTTTCCCCAGTGTTTACCAGCGTGTTATGAGAACAGCCATTAGTCACTCAATTATTTTGGCTTAAATTTTTGAAATTGTTGTTGACTTTTCTTTTATTCCTTGACATTTAGTGAGTCTTGGAAACTAATCAAATCCACCCATCACAACATATCTCATTTCTTTGYATTACCATTATTGTCTTTGTCAAATTTCTCATCACATCTGGATTACAGAAAGAGTTTTCCATCAGGTCTCAAGGTTACCAGTATTGTTTCTTGTTAAGAATTTCTCCACACCACCACTGGATGAATATTTCCAGAACGTCACCTTTGTCATTCTCACTGCCTTCTTCAGGTGATTTCTACTTTTCTGACATCTGAGGTCCTCGACTGTGTGCATCTGCTTCACATCAGTACCTGAACCTGAATCTATGGCATGAATCTTTGTCATTAACTTCTGATTTCACCAAGTTCACCAGCCTGAGTTCATCCAGCTTATGATTTTTTCACCCACAAACACTCACCTTCTCTCCCCATTTTTCCTTTATTCACTTGATCCTTGTCTTTCCAAATGTACCAAACCTAAGATCTGCTTATCCAGCTTTTCCGCTTCACACTCTTAAAAACTTATATTGTGTACACTAGAGTGAATCTCTGGTCTTATGGGTTTATGTCTGAACTCCTCAGCAAATTTCAATGCTCTTGAAGATCACATTTCCAATTATGTTCAGGCCCAAATACTTGGCAGGTGCTCAATCATTGC